ATTTGCCTATTTTAGGCGAGAGATTATCAAAGAATTGAAAAGCTTCAAGAAAGTTATTATTTTATCTTGAAAGGACCTCAGTTGATAATCTTAGTTTTCCCTGTACTAACAGAAAATCATTTTACAAAGCGTATCATATTAAGTCGTAGCAGAACCACATCAAACCAAATAGGGCTTAGCTTTAGGAAGAAAACAGTGAGAGAGAAAATATTTAGAAAACAATGATTTGAAACCGGCGCGGACAAACTCTTCCGTCAAATTCCTAAAATGGAAAACGGAAATAAAAAAAKCTGATGTCTTTTCTTGATTTTAGGTTACTRGAGCGCATAAGATTTTCAAAGATGAACATCAGTTTGACCCCAATGAACACTGTGGTAGTTATGTTTGATTATAATTTTTGTTTTGTTTGTTTGCGAGTACGTTGGTATTGTTGGTTTCGCATTATAACCATAATTTCTCTTTGCACAGGAACGCAGCCCGATGTGAACTCCTTCGATTCTGTTTCATCTGAAAAATCAAGATTGGCAAGAACAATTGAGAACGTATGAGATTAAGCACTTTGTCATAGAATATCTGGCATTATCAATCATTTATGATTTCTCATATGATTTTTGATTGACAGTTACGTCGTGGTCTTGGTCATGTGGTCGACACTGAGGATGTCTACCGACCTTACTTGACAACTAACGAAACTAGATACACTGAAGTTGTATTCGTGGTGGACAATGGCGTGGTAAGACAGAAATATCGACAAACAGACGGATCGCACACTTTGACGGACGTACAGCAAGACAGGCAGACAGACAGACAGACGTGCGAAAACAGACACCTTAGTGAGTCATATATGGATAATTAAGACGCATGTTATTTTATCTATTCAGTACGAAAGATTTAAAGACACCAAGCCTGTCATCAATAAAGTTCTTACGTTGTGTAATGCAGTTGACGCGGTAAGTGCACATGACGGCTACCTTTATCATGACGTCACTATCCTTATCATCTCATCATCTTCACTGGCATCAGCAGTAGTTCATCACCATTATCAAGTGTCCTAGTAACCTCGTTTTGGATGAAAGAGGCAAATCTACGATCCTAAAGCGAAAGTCAGGGGCGGATCCTAGGGAGGTTCTTTGGGTGCGGACGCACCCCTCCTTTTCTGGATGACGTACTTTTTTTCTGCTGCTTATACTTCTGTTGTACACAATATGTGTCTGCCACTATCAATGCCGTTACATGTGCTATATTTAGTTTTATAGCTATATGTTACTGACAAAATCCCCCTCATAAAATGCTGGATCCGACACTAAAAGTGGAAACTGCTACTTCTGGGGTTAAAGGCCCAGTTTGCACCATTATGGTTTGCGAGCCTCTGTTATTGTTATACTTCTGGTATCCAAATATCACCATAAAACGAAGTAAGATTGCTGAAAACTCTATGAATATCATCATTTAAAGTGCTTAGAAAAGTGAGATGGTCAAAGATTCGAAACGCACAGCACAATTTATAGACTTTCGGTAAACTGAAAATAGCCGCCCGAGGGACCCACACTGGACCTTTGAGAATCACCTTGCTTAAATAGAGGATATTACATGGGCGCGCGGAGATACGGATTTTATCTTCAAGTGTTGAAAGAGATTTTCAACACGAGAAGATAAAATTCGTATCTCCAAGCGACCATGTAATATTCTGTTTATCATATAATTAGATATGAAAGCAAATTATGTTGTAAAAATACCTTTTTTCTTTCTTCCAATATATAGAGAAACCTCGAATGTGTTATTTTCACTAGTCTAGTGAAAATATCAATTTTACGTAATGGAGAAATATAGGTATTTCATAGATAATTATATGATAAAACTCAATAACATACATTCTAGCACTGGTGGAACCGGTATGGGTGTTGAATACAGAGCAGTGATAAAACCAAAGGCTTTTTAATCCTTTCTTCTAATCTAAATAAATTTTACWTTGTCGAATTCCCGAGCATGCGCATATAATGCAACAGAAAGATTTGTTTTCCAGGTCTACCAGAGAATCAATATTCGAGTTGTTGCCATTGCCATCGAGATTTGGACGAATGGCGACCGAATGCAACGACATGGAAAAAATGGTAGCCTAGAGCTGTCAGAGTTTGCCGAATACCGCAAGAAAGAGCTTTTACCCAAAATCCCACACGACAACGCGCAGTTTCTCAGTCATCACGGCTGGGGCAAGGCAGCTGGCATGGCTTATGTTGGGGCTATGTGCAAGACGCCAAACTCCTGTGCCGTCAATACGGTAAAACATATTATGTAAATCTAGAATTATATATATGATATCAAAGAGGCAAGATTTTGCTGTAACTCCGAGTTTCGTGCTACACACTTTATGTGTATTGAGCACTCTTTAATGGGATCAGCTACTTCCTCATACGATTAAATCTATAATTAAAAAAATTATCGAAACTTGATGTTCTGCTTTACTGGCCTGCAGTTTAA